CAGGGAAAGGCTGGGAGAATTGGAATTATTCATCCTGGAGTAGAAGAGGCTTCAGGGCAGCCTACAGGAAAGATGGAGAGAAGAGACTGTTAACAAGGGCTGGAGGGACAGGACAAGGAGGAATGGCTTCAGACTGCCAGAGGGCAGGGTGAGGTTGGATACTGGATGTTGATAACCTAAATCAGCTACCAGCTTTTGCTTCTTGTTTTATGTTTTTTTGAATAAGTAGCTTTTTTTTAGAACAAACTGTTTGCCTTTGAGAAGTTTCCCAGTTTTCAGTATAGTGAAATAACTGCAAAAGAGTTATTGCACTTGAAATGCCACAGAATGATAATTTGGGGACAAACAAGGCTTTGTCTCACTGATGCATGAAGTAATTACTGGGCAGAAATGCACCATTCTCATCCTAAAAGGATCACGGCCTGAGAGTCCCAACAGCTGAAAAATGGGTCATTTACTGTACATAAAGTGGAAGTGCCAAATTTTAAATGAACTATATTTGGGATTTATTGTCTTGTTGAAATTCCAGAATGGGAATATTTGCTCAGCATAAGATCCATCTGCAAACAGGCAGGGGGGTATCAGACACAGGACAGAGCTGGTGCAGGCTGTGCCCTGGGTGATGCAGGGCTCTGGGATGAGGGTCCGTGATGCACAGTGTGTTCTGCATGAAATTCCTTAATTTGCTGGAAGAGATTTTAACAAGGTCTGTAACACAGTGGAAGAAGACAAAGGGAAGCACTTAAGGGGCTGTTGCAATACAGGGCTCAGAGCAGGCTTGGAGATACTGAAAGTGTTAATAGAATTTATGAGAACCTCAGGAAAGTACTGTCCTGTTTCCCTGGAGCTCTGCCCTGCTCTGCTGGGTCCTGTCCATCAGCTGTGGTGAGGATGGAGAAAGCTTCACAGAGCCTACTTTGAGAAAGCTTCATAGAGTCTGCAATCAAATCCCAAGGAGTTAATTGCTACTAAACAGTGGTAATGAGTTGTGAATGATGTGGTAGAACCCCGATCTTTGATCAGTTCTAGGGAACATTTGATTTCTCTGGGTGTATGTTCTTCTCTAAATATTCAGCACTGAGTTCTTCATCTCAAAAGGCTGATCAGAGCAGGACTGAAGGAGTCAGTGATTTCTCTTAGAGCCAGAGCTGCAGGGGCTCCTGGCAGGGAGGGTCCTGGCAGCAGGAAGGGTGCAAATGGTTCTTGGGTTTTTCCCTTGTGGTTGCCTTGTAGCCAAGGCCAGGCTGGAGGGCAGGAGAACTCGGTGATTTAAGAAGAAATGAGCAGGAGATGGAGGAGGGCAGAGATCTGGTGAGCCCCTAAAGCCTGTGTGAAGACTGGCCCAGCTCAGGCAGCATTGTGCTTGCCAGATTTATTCACAAAGCCCCTGGAAATGTGCTAAATCCTGGGCTCCCTTAGCAATGCCCAGAGCAAGGCAGTGGGGCTGTGCCATCCTGTGGTTCCCCTTCTCCCAAACTCACCTGTGCCTTGGAAACACAACAGCCCTGGAGTGAATCTGGGACCTCAGGGCAAAGGATTTAACCCAGATCTGTCCATCTTCCCTCACTGCTTCACTGTTTAAAGTGTAACTATTGATGCAGGAAGCAGGAAAATTTATCTGTGAAAAATTGCACTTGGAACGCTGGTTTTGGCTCATTCTGAGCAATGAGAGAGCATGAAATTGCTGTGAATCCTCAGGGCTTTCCTGGACAGCGTGTGAGCCCAGTGCAAAACGTTTATTGTAAAATACCTTCTAATTGCAGTGCTTAAAGTGGGCACTGCTGGCCTTTGCAGTGGCTCTGGGCTTTGTTTCCTCTGGGCAGCTGGGAGCAGTGGGCACACAAAGCACAGGGGCCATTTGAGCAGGAATCAGTGCTTTAAACAAACACCAGGAATGAACTGAGCTCTCCTCCACCCTTTTGATTTTTCAGATGTCTTCAGAAGGCTCAGAGGGAGTGGGGCTGGTGCTGGCCACGCTCCTCATGGTCCAGGGTGGGATCCAGAGGTGCTGCCATCAGTGCTCCCCTTGGCTTCAGGACTCTCTTGTCCTGGCACCCATTCCTGGCACCCAGTTACCTCCGAGCTGCTTGTGAAATGAACTGGGGGCTGGCAGGCAGCTGGTACAGGGTGCAAAGGGGTGCTGACACCCCACAGCCCCCTCTGCTCCCCCCAGCAGCAGTCCCTGATGCCATTGCTCTCTCCTGGAGATGCCTGCTCTTCCCAGGCATTGCTGAGGGAAAACAGTGGCACTGGGCTTGTTCTCACACTCTGCTGGCCACAAGCTCTCCTTGTCCCCTGCTCCAGCTCCGGGAGGCATTCCCAGTGCCCCGTGCTGGGATCCCTGTCAGGCAGAGCAGGATGGTGTCAGCTGCCCATCTCTGCTGAGGGGGTCAGGAGCAGAGAGGCACAGAGGTGCCCCAGGGAGGTGGCACAGAGGTGGCCCAGGGAGGTGGCACAGAGGTGCCCCAGGGAGGTGGCACAGTGCTGGGAGGTCACAGCATTAGTGCTCAGCAGTGCTGACAGGGAAGCTCCATGAGCCAGCCCCTGGCCGTGGTGCCTGGCAAAGGGCGCTTTAGCAGGGCATCGATTGCTCTCAGTAGGCTGGATTGGGTGGGGGATCCTGCAGTGCTGGAGCCATCCTGGGGGTGTATCAGCGAGGAGGCTTTTGCCAATCTTGACAATCAATCCCAGTTTCCATCTCCGCTCGCGGGGCCCGCGGCGTTCCCGCCCGGAGCGCGAGCAGCGATCGCGCTGTGAGTGAGCTGTTGCAGCGCCGTGTGGCACGGCTGCTTTTATCTCAGAACTGGGATAAAAGCTTTCTTCAGGGGCCGAGGGATTAATTTTTCACACATCTGTCCACTGGAATGCAATAAGGGAGCCTTTGTTCGGGCTCCTTCCGTGGAGCGCCTTCTCCACCCTTGTTATTTCACTCTTCTTTTGCATGGCAAAACTTTTTGTCCCGCATTTCAAATAGATCCTGAGTGTCCCTGGCAGCTGAACAAGAGAAACAAACTTTCCAGCCCTGTTTTTTGTGCCGTTCTCAGGGGATGCTTGGTGATTTGAAGGGTATTTGATTGGTTTTGGCAGAGGCATTTTACTCCATGGAAAATCCACAGCTCCTCCAGTCCCGTATGGATGGTTTAGGGAGCCCCTGGAGCCTCCAAGTGAGATCTGTGGGTGGCCAGCTGGTCGTGGAGGTGCCATGGGAACGCTGAGGACACTGCTCTTGGACCATGGGCAGGGAGGGACAGGGGACAGTGCCAGCTCTGCTCCTGCCTGAGCCATGGTGGGAGGGCCCAGAGCTTGGCCCAGACATGGCTCTGCATGAAAATGAAGCCCCAGAGCCTCAGCCCTTGTCCTGCCGATGCTTTCCTTGTTCTTTGGAGGTCGGTTTTACTCTTTAACACCAAAGTCTTCTCACTCCAGCCCTAATCACGTGTCAGGGGACCCACGCAGGGTTGATGGCTCCATCCAGTGAGAGGGAACTTAACACTCAGGTTCAACACTGGTTATAGCATCCCCCAGTCTGGAAGTGCTTCCCCCACATGCCACTGCACGGAGGCTGTAGCAGTTACCAGCAGACAGGTTCAGCAGAGGACCAGGGCTGGCTGTGCAGTGCTGCTCTCTGTGCACAGGGAGCACCACCCTGGGATCCTCTGCCTACATTTACCTGTGCTATGTTCTTTTCCCCCCAACAGCCCTATTACCGTATTTAAATGCAAGTATGTCTTTTTTTGATTGATGTTTTAAGTAGCTTCAAGTTACTCTAGCCTAGTCCTCTGCTCCTTGCCCTGGTAGCTGAGCTGTAGCTGAGCCATAGTGCTGGAGGTAGTGGGCTGTAGTGTGCTGGGCTCTCTTGCTCTTGCTCTCGGGCTCACTCTTCTCTTTCTCAGTGCCTCAGTTGTTCTCCTGTGGTTCCTCAGCCTTGCAAAGCAGCTGTGATCATGGTCCTGGTGCCCACAAAGGAGCAGGTCCCATTGTGGTGGCCCCCCCAGGCTTGTCCTGTTGGGTCTCAGGAGCAGTTGGAGCTCCCAGGGACCAGGAACCTCCCTGGAATCATTGACCTTGGGGTTCTTGTGATTGCCTGGATGTTGCCATTGCCCTCTTAAAATACATATATTGAAAGTCAGAATCTCTGGCAGATCTTTTGAATGTTAATTAAGTAAATCAGCAATCTTGCTGGCAGCATTCCATTCCTCTGCAAGGGCTGGGTTCCCTGGAGCAGGGGGGATGTCATAGAGCTCCTTGGTCTGCGGCTGGTTTGCTTTCAAGAGCTTTTTCCTTCTTTCTTTCTTTCTTACCTCTTTCTCTCTTTCTCTCTCTCTTTCTCTCTTTTCTTTCTCTCTCTCTCTTTCTCTCTTTTCTTTCTCTCTCTCTCTTTCTCTCTTTTCTTTCTCTCTCTCTCTTTCTCTCTTTTCTTTCTCTCTCTCTCTTTCTCTCTTTTCTTTCTCTCTCTCTCTTTCTCTTTCCTCTTTCTTTCTTTCTTTCTTTCTTTCTTTCTCTCTCTCTCTCTTTCTCTCTTTCTCTCTTTCTCTCTTTCTCTCTTTCTTTCCTTCTATCTTTCTCTCTTTCTCACATTCCATTGAATTTTTTCTGCTTGATCCCAGCAAATTTGTGATCTTGACACGAGGACCTCCTCGTATTTTCCATTACTGCTTTGTCTGTAGCCCAGCACATTATTATCACTTGCAAATAAGCCCAGAAGAGAATTCCCTGGTTGTCTGCAGAGCGGGCTGACCCCGTTCCTGCGGGAGACACGAGCCGAGAGCTGCAGGCTCTGCCTCCAGCCTGTCCTCCTTGGCTGCACGGCGTGCCGTGGCCAGGAGCCCGTTCCTCCTGTGCCAAGGGGATTTGTGCCACCGGCGGGCACCTGGCCAGGGCTGGGCTGTTCCCAGGGGGCACGGAGAGCCGGGCTGGCGAGCTCCGGGTGCCTGTGGCCCGCAGGGACTCGCGGTACCCGCTGCCTCTGTCTTTACCCTTCTCCTTTTCTCCACGGCCAGGTTTTCCAGCAGCGGCTTATGGACCAGTAGCAGCGGCAGCCGTGGCAGCAGCAAGAGGATCAGGTAGGGGGGCCCGTGGAAGAGCAAACCCTCAGAGTGCAGGGTCAGGTAAAAGCTCTGTCGGTATTCTGTGTGGCTGCAGCTCTCCATCATTTCTCTGATTTTCCTCACACTTATCCTGGGGACCTGAAAACAATCAATCAAAACAAAAAAAAAAATCGAGAAAAAATAAGTAATCAATCCCAACCCAAACCCAAACTACAAGCAGAGGCCACAGGGGCTGGAGCACCTGCAGGAGATTGGCGTGAGAACTGCCAAAACCAGGGTAGATATTCCAATTTGTTTCTTCCTTTATTCCTTTATTGCGTTGGTTTCTTTATTTGTTTGGTTTAAATTCAAGGCTCTAAAAGACGCCCTAAAAAAAAGATCAATTTGTGTTTTCGGAAAAAAAGTTTTGGTTTCTCACAGGAAGCTGGGGTTGGGTTGAGGTGGTGGCAGCAGCTCTGGGTGCTCCCGCCGTGCCCGGAGGTGCTGTCACCTCCTCCACTGTGGCCAACGTGGGGCATCCCCATGGCGAGGGGATGGCATCACCCGTGCCATTGGCACCAGCACACGGCTGGAATTTCACCATCCCTGCCTGCTCCAACCCCACTGCTTCCACGAGGAACCACCAAGCTTTTCTTCTGTCCTTCTGAAAACTTCGTACTTTTTCTTTTCCCCTTGAGGGAAACACAGAAACAAATCGTTGCCAATTGCCGTTACTGCCTTAGGTTTAAATTCTGCCGAAGGTGCGAATCAGCGCTGTGCTCAGGTGGCAGAGCTCAGAGCAGCCCTCGGCGAGCCGTGCGCTCCCGCAGCAGGCCGCCATGGAGCCGCTGCCAGCCCCGTGTCCCCTGTCCCGGCGTGTCCTCAGGGGACACGGGGCTGGCAGCACCTCCCAGCTGACTCGTGGCTGAGCTGCGGGCTCTCGGTGCTTTTCGGGCGGTGCCGGGCGTTCAGGAGGCTCTCCCGAAAAGCCCCGAGCGCGTGAGGGAGCAGGAGGTGGGCGCAGGCCCCGGCGTGTCTCGAGCGAGAGCCTGGGGCCATGAGGCCAGAGAAAGACACCAGGAGAACTCCGTTCCATGCAAACTGGCACTGCTTGCAGGCTACAAAGGACTCTCTGTACCAGTTCCATCCTGTGGCATGTAGAGAGCGCCTAAGGGGTGACTTGCCAGCCTGGTTGTGGGGATCCCCCAACTCCCAGCTTCTCCTACTGCCCTGGCACGGAGGGGGAAAAACAAACCCAAAGAGGGGGGAAAAAAAAAAAACCCCAAAGCCAAACAAATCCCAAGATTGCTTTTGCATATGCTTCCAGGAAAACAGACCTCATTGTTTCTGCCTCTTCCTCATGTTTTGCCCTTCAGGTTTTGTTTTACGTGCAAACAGACCTGGTGAGTTGCCCCTTAGCAAGGCACAGAGGGTTTGGCTGGATTAACGTTGCTTCCCTGATTATTATTATTATTATTTTTTTTTAATCGGAGTGCTTTTGGTGCCCATTACAACTGAACTGAGCATTGATCAATTCTGTGCCTGAAAATCATTTGTCTTTAATTTGAGTGTTTTTTGGTTTCTCTTTTGTTGGGTTTTCTGATTTGTTTTTTCAGTTTTTTTGTTTTTTGATTTGAACTTGCAATACAAAACTAAATCTAACCCTAAATTAACAACACCCTTTCTGGCAAGTTTAAAGAGCAGTATGGTGTTTGGAAATGTCTTTTCAAGCCTCAAAATTGCCTGCATGCACAAAACTGGCAAAAACCCCAAAACTGAACCCAAAGAGCCCCCGTCCCTCCCCCGCCCCGAGGTCTCAAGGAGGAAGGTGGGTTTGTCACCGGCCCCGCTCACATCTGCACCAAGCCGTGGTCTGGGAAAGGGGGGTTTCTGTAGAGTCATCTCCATCCAGAGCTGGTTTTGGAAGGGACATCCTGGGTTTGCCACTCCATCAGCAATGGTAGTGAATTGTATCCAGGAGCAGTGGAGTCCGATCGATCTTGCGCTGCAGTGTACGGGCCCGATTCATTACAAGAAAAATGGCTGGGGTTTTTTCCTTCTTTCCTTTTCCCTTCACAAATTCGCACAGCCCTCCTTCACGCGTGCCTGGTCCAAAGCACAGAGCACAGCACTAACTGGCCCCTTTCTGCCAGGAAATGGGAAAGAGCTGGGAAAAACACCCGGGCAGGCGCGTCCCACCACCCCCAGCTCACTGGGAGAGCTCTGCCCAGGGCTGCTGGAGCAGAGCACAGGGCAAGCATTCTCCAGGAGGTTCCTGGAAAGCATTGATGACAATCCATGGCATCAATGTCCCCATCACTGCTGCCTCTTCAGCAGCTCTCTGGCCCCATCCTGCCAGCTCTTCCCCACCTTCCTGGCGTCAGTGCCAGCGCGGAGACTGAGCACCCGCAGAGAGCATCCACCTTCAGGTGCGTGTCTTGGTCTCCCCAGGAAGCTGCAGCCCTCTCACTCCAAGCCCCCGGGCACTGACCACCTTGGTTTGTCCCTGGGGTGACATTCCTCCTCTTGGGACCACCTGCATGTTTGCTGAGTCAGCAGGGAGCCTGCTGGGGGCAGGTACCTGCTCAGGGCCTCCTCCCTGCCCTCACCCCTTCTTTTTCCATGGCAGCGTGCCACCAGCTGACCTTGCTAGATAAACAGGTTCTTCTGTGTCACGGCAGGTCTGTCCTACAGCCAGCAGAAAGGGACGTGTCCCTGTCCCCGTGCTCAGTGCCACCATAAATTCACGTCCCGCGTCGCTGCTCGCGTGCCGGCAGGGTGAGCGCGGCCGTGCTGCTCGGCATAAATCACGTCCCCAGTCGACGTCCCAGTGAGGAGGTGATAGCTGAGGTCCTTCCAGCAGACACAGGTCTGGCCACATCCATTCGCTCCGGGTGGGGCTGCGCTGCCCAATCCCTCCACTGGTTTTGACAACCTCACCCATTCTTGTATTTTTTTAATGAATTGGGACCTGAGCCACGGAAAACGAGCAAAGTTAAAAGTCTGAATGCTGCAAACTCCTCCTAGACAACTTCACTATCAGTGTCACGTTTCTTTTGAATCCACCTGACATATTTTACGTGTAAAACATTTTTGTCGTGTAAATGCTTTTTTTGAAATACAGTCATGGGGGGGGCACATTTTTCTCTTGCATTTGACATGGGAGGGGTTCATCCGGCAGGAGAGCGAGACAAGGAAAATTTGGCAGGAGAGGGTTTTCGTTCCTTCCTCTTTGGTTCATTGACAAGCCTGAGATTTTTCCAGTTCCCAACCTGTTGCTACCAACTGTTCCTCCCTGAGGACTGGAGACAAAACCCGTCAGGCCACACTAATCCAGCCCTGTCCCAGCTCCCTCGGGCAGGCTGTGCAGCGGGACAGCGCAGTGCCACGGCGCCAGGGGCTGCTCCCCACCCCAACCCCTGGCACATCTGGATTTTGGGCCCCAGTCCCGGCTTGCCAGTGCTGCCTTTGAGCCCTGCGCCCCAACAACCCCTTACTGGACTTTATACTTGCCAGCTATAACAAATCTCGTAACGTGAGCTACTGACCTTGATGGTGAGTGTGAGCAGTTATGTTTTGTTGTTTTCTCTCTTGCTTGGTTGGGGCTGCTGTGAGAGAGGGTGTCTCTGAGGCAAACTTTCCGGCCTCTCTTACACTCGGACGTGCACACCTCCTCTCAAACACTCTTCTGAGCGCTCTCAGCGGGAAGGTTTGTCCACACCTATTAATCCTCTCTCAGTGTCCAGCTTCTTGTTAGTAGCAGCTGGTTGCATGTTTTTTGCTTGTTCGGACGAAACGGTTCAAGAAACGACTCATATCAACTCTTGAGAAATGTCTCTATTTTTTTGTACACTTTCTTTCTTTTGATGTTTTTTATTAATTTCCCTTACTTAAAAAACAAAACACCTGTCGTCCCGTAAAACATTTCACATCTCCCCTTGCCTGTTCTTAGAGTGTATGTATCTGTGGGACTGAACTAAATGCATGCACTGTAGTAGTCGTACTGGTAGCAGTAGATGTAGTTGTAGAACATGCATTGTCAAGTTGATATTATAGGCACCATCAACGCGAACGAGCGTGGCAGATAAAAGCAGAGCCTTGGTCTGATTGAAAGCGTAGGGATAACGCAGCAGAGAGCTGCTGATGGCTTGGATCCATAGAGCCCTATTCGTTAAATCCCATTATCTGGAAGTTTAAATTGAAGCCGGCTGTAGGCAACCTACACCCTCCGTACAAGAACCCGCACATGCTCTTATGCTGATAGTAAAACTGACCTTTTTTTAATTCAAATTAACCCCCCTAGGAACTGAAACACTGACTCTAACTGTATTCTCTTATTTTTATTTTGTGTCCAAAAGAACCTAAGATATTTTTCAAATCATTTTACAATCATGGTTTCTCCATCAGCCTGTTACTCGTCCATATTAGCCCATAGACTCATCCGTTGGCGGTCGTAGAGCAGATGTGCCACACGCAAATCACTCCATTTGGGAATCCAATAATTCCGTGTGTGAGCGGCTCCCCGCAGCCTGTCCTGAGCCACCGAGCGATTGTTTGTAGGTCATAAACCTTAAATCTTATTATGCAACAGAGACTCCGAGCTAGTGATGGGTCGTACTCATTGCCATGTCACCCAGCTTAAGGGGAACATTTTTAAATGAAGATTTAACATTTCATAAATATCAGCGTGAGGAGTTCGAGGCAAGTTCATCCTCTGTGCCACGAGCCAGCAGTGGCTTTGCTCCTCCTGCCTGGGTTTCTGTGCTAAACTTGGAAAATGCAGAGACGGCGCTGCAGTCAGTAAATCCAACAGATGGTAATTGAGATCCCGAATTAGGCTTTGGTTTATTTGTTGTTTAGTTTGCTGCTTGTCAGAAAACACCCTGATGGGAGCAGAAAAGCTCCTCTCTGCTGTGGTCACTCCTCCCCATGCCCTGGCCATCCCCAAAGCCAGCTGTGCTGGGTGGGAGCATCTCCCTGCTCTGCTGGGCAGAGCCACGCACTCATTAATGCACTTCAGGCAGCAAGGGCTTTCAAAGGAAATAAAATATCCAGAATGGACTTTCCAGTGTAATTAAGGA